TTTGTAAAGATTAAAGAATCATATTTTACCGTAGGTTCTCTATCTTTTGGTACATAACTTGTATGTGAGGATTCCTATTATTATTAAAAACTTTATCATTATATTTCAGTGACATAAAGTTGCAACCAAGAGAACTGTGTAGCACAGATACTTCTAAAATGTTGTTTATTCATGTAAAAGATGATGATGATTGATAATGTGTTCAACAAACCATAACTAAGTTGTACTTTTCTCATTATTTTACTGTCATATTTGTCTCTTGACATGATATGCATTAGTGACCTAGTATTTCCTTTATGGGCTCTAGTTAGTGACCAAAATTGATCAAGATCTGACTTTTTTGCTATGTTGCTCAGACTCTCCGAAAATGCAACCAGACCCGTGTTGGATTGTCAAAATATCACTACATTTGGAGAATCCAACATGCAACCGTTGACATTTTTGGAAAGTCGGAGCAACATAGCTTTTTGGTGTACCCATGAGGTTCTTATGTGTATAGATGATTGCGTTTATTTTTGGGGAGAACCATAGTTTGGTATCAGTTACTCTACTTTTTTGGTACACCACTTGTATATGGGGTTTTCCCCATCATTAATTTCTCTTTACTCCATCAAAAAAATTAAGAAGATCCTGACTCTTTATAATGTTTAAACACAAGTGGGCCCAAATATTGATATGAAGTAACCTTTTTATGAATTTGTACTTCAACTTTTTTTCCAATAACCAAGAGATCCCCAAGGTCCTGTGGGGCATGGTTTGGGCTTGCCCCTCTACTCTTCTACACTTAAATACCAAGTTTTGTTTCATGCAAGGTTCGAACCCATGATGTATGTGCCCATGTATCACACTTCACAGGCTGCGCTCTTACAACTAGATCAATGCCCTGGGGAGAATTAATTTTTACTTCTACTAAAACAAGATAGGATTCATTCATAAAAGCTTCTCCTTCCCTAGTACATTTCTTAGTGAATACTATACCAACACATAGATTCCCAAAATTCCACAAAAAATTATCTCTTTTATAAAAATGGGCAACTTTTTAGTCAACCCATTGATAGTTTATACTGAAAAAAGGAATGAAACTAATAAGATTGGAATAAGACTCAAGGATTCTATTATTGATGCGTTTGTCGAGAAACAATATTACAAACGCAAGAATGATTAATATTTCTGAATTATTGTTTTAGTTGTTTTAGTCGAACATAACTTCCTGAGTGGATTAGGATTCTTATTATTTTAGTTTTATAGGACTTTGTTATTTCTAATTTATTAGGACTCTTGCTATTGTAAACCTCTATTTAAGAGAGTTGACATTATTAATAAAATAAGTTGGATTTTATCAAGTTTCAGATATTCGGAACTTTCTCAAACAAGTTCCCAGGTCTGCAATTCCCTGAATGAATTACAAATTTCAGCAATCATAGGCAAGTCAAGGAACAAGAACAGGGGCTTAGACCTGTCTATTGGACCTGACTTTTCAGTTAATCGTCCAACGACTCGATCCAGAACTAGGGACCATAACAGATTCAGCCAAGTTGAATCCCCATTAAAAGACAGATTCTTTACCAAAATTGAAGCAGATGTGCCACCTAAAAGTGCCACGGTAATTGTCCAAATATGCCCAATTTTGCCTACAACACAGACATAGAATCATGAAAACATTTGCTTGAATAACGAATAAGAAATAGAAAATTTTGTCACAATAGAATGCAACCTACAATTGAGGAAATACAACTTACCCAAAAAGAGAAAATGGATACCCTTCATAAACACGGTTACATATGAGGAATGTAAGATTAAAGATCCAAAGCAGAAAAACAAATTTTGTTCTCCCGCATATCTGCAGATACAGAAGCATGTAAAAAGACCAGAATCACAAAATTCTTTGGTTATGGAGGACCATTTAGACGGAACGTGAACAATGATGGCATACACAATACAGAAAATACATCTGCAAGAATGACATTTTACCCATTAAAGTGGGAAAGAGACAGGAGCACAGATAAGCTTATGAGCGCTAAGGTTCCGAAGTTAGATAATCTATTGCATGTTCTGAAGTCACATAAGACCCACTTGATAAGCTTATGAGCGCTAAGGTTTCCCCAAATTATTTTACAACAGCAAATGCAATTCACATTTTCCTTCATTAACCATTTAAATATTCATCTCAATAATTGGCCAACCCAATGCATATTCGTGGCTGGAGCAAGTAATGATTTTACAAATTTATAGAGTGTAGCTGCAATGCCACATTCTATACATCATTCAATATCAACATTTGACTTGACCTCCTTTGTACGTACATAAAATTATACCGTCCCTACAAATATCTCCATCAAATTAATCCGTATATTGTTAAGGTGATCCACTAAAGAGATATCAGCTAACCTTGACACAGTGAAGCTCTCAAGAAAAAATACTAACATGGCATAACATTCCAGATCATTGAATGCAACAGAACTTCAATGATCACTTCAATAATTAAATCAAGCGACTGGAGCAGTTAACAACAAGAGCACGGACACCCGGAGAGTAGGAAAATACATAGAACTTTATTACCCCTTAACCGCCTGATTAGTACTCTTGTTGTGTCAATTGTCTGAACTAAGAAATTGACCAAACAAGATTTCCTCTAGCGCAGCCTAGTCCTCTTATTTCCTTACCTTCTCTCCAGTTTTTTATTTTTATCCCCTTCAAAGTAGTTGGAGGAATTGGGTTTCGGAGAAACTATTCAGCATATATACATATTTCTAGCAACAAATGAAAACATCAGCAGTTAAATTCTAAATATCTTAAGAGCAACTGTGTTTGAAACCAAACATGTCATTAATGATCCGTTCATTCTACAAGTCTTAGATACAATAAAACATGCCACTCATAATGCTGTGACCATGCCGACAATTAGAATAGAAAAGGTAAGATTGCACACAAGATACTGCATGATGTTCGAAATTTCATGGCATATTCTTACAAAAAGGACTGTAAAGGTAAACAAAAATAAGAACACAACTAAAAAGTTCTATCATACCAACCTTTACTAGGAGAAAATTAGCTGAAGCTATAGACAAGATGTATAAGACGCTGCAGCCAAAACAAAGAGTTACTAACGACCCAGAGCTCCATAATTGAAAAACAAAATACTTTCAACTTCTAAAATAACGAAAGAGCATACCAAGCTCCATGGAGATATGTCAAATAAACCAAAGAAACCATCAGCCAAACAACCGACATTCCCTTTGCTTTTAGACCATATTTTCTACATGAGGTAGCTACTAGAGTGAAGATACCAAACACTAACGTAAGAATCATCAAATTTCCCCGAAAATTTCTCCACTGAGCATCAGATACATCCTAATAACAACCAAAAGTTGCAGATTAACAGAGACAGATGCAAATATAATGGTATTGAACCAAAAAAAAAAGAAAAGGGTTTCATATAAATTGGGTATTGAACAATTTAAGCATACATTGAATCGATGAAAGATCCAACCAGATCGAAGTCCATAAAGTTTGGTGTAATGATCTGCAAATATGTTACAAGTTAACAAACAACCCTTAAATTAGAAAGCATAAACACATATAGACCGGTATAGAGAGAAGAAGAAGAAGAAGAAGAATACCGCGGGAAATTTGAAGAGATCGATGAATAATGAAAAGGTAAAATGAAAGGGCATAGACAATGAGAAGAGTAAGCTCCACCGAGCTTGTCATGGCGACTTCACACACTCAACAATGGCGATGAACTTGTTTGTTGTTGAAGTGGAAAACTCATTCACACATTTTGACAAACAGTTAACTGCCTACAAAATTCATATCAAATGACCAAATGGCGTTGAAAGTAGGAACAATACTCAACAATGCGGTGTTCAGATGAATTTGACGAGTATTTGGCTCCAGTTAAACTGATATTGACAAAAAGAAACAATTCTTTTCAGAAATCAAAATAAAAAGAAATTCGATTAACTTGTTACATTTAAATTTAAACTTGATATAAAGCACTAAAAAAATAATGATTGACAAGACTATTTACTATACTATTTTTATTAATTGATGTTTAATATTAAAATAAAAAAAATAAGTAATTAATATTAAAATAAAAAAAATTATTTTTTCTTAATATGTTAAAAGTAAAAAATAAAAATATAGATAGATAAAAATGAACATAAATATTATTCCTAGTAGTAATTATTTTCTTGAAAATATGAGAGTAAAGATCTTTTACTTCAACTGATTGGTTTACTTCATTCTTCCAAGCCAAGAAGAGTCTTATTTTGATTGATGTAGTTGATCGGTAGGTCAGGATTTTGTACAAACTATATGTTTTAATATTGAGGCGTGTAGACGTATATGGTGGATTTGTAAGTCAAGTGACATTGTCTACCTTGTTATTGGTTGTGTTCCTCATTTCGACCTTTGTTATTTTTTATGGCCAGTTTGTGTATGACAGCCTTGTCGAACCAAATAATTTGTGGTTTCGAGTCTTGAAATTGTGTGATTTCACTCGGTCAAGTAAGACAATCCAATGCCGAATATGAGACATGACACCTACTGACTACTCATAGAGACGAGTGACCTAACTGAATATGACATAAATCAAACATAAGGCAAGGTGCTAATTGCTAGATAGATAATCTGTTGTTGAGGAATTTGGATAGAATTTAACACCAAAAATTACTTACACTAATAGGTCTAAGTTTAGAGAACTTCACTCAATGTACAATAATCCCAAGCAAAATGGCTTTACCAAATTTCCTCCTATTGAATTGATTTCTGCATAGTTGCAATCACCATATACTCATCTGTCATGTAGCATCATGGTTGATCAACCATTCACACAGTTTAGCGCTAAAGACCAAATTGGATTAGTCACGACTCATTGAACCAACACCAGGAGGTGGTTTTGTCTCTACCAAAAATACGACTGTCGAAAAGAGGAAATCAAGGCATGAAACGGAAAGGTCTTTGATTCTTCGCAATGTAAATAGACAACACCAAACACCTGCTCAACAAGTCTACTGAAATCTTAATTTCACCACCAATGGAAAAAAAAATCATTAGCAGCATCACAGCATGTTAAGCCTCAGTTTCTGGAGAACAGTTTAATGAATATTTTCAGTTAGCTCTCACGTTCATTCTCATTTCCCAAAGCAAAGAGAATTTTATCAAAGTGGTTCACTGTACATGTAAAGAAACACACCTATACAAATGTAGCATTGTTGCTGAACATGTTAAAAGATATGTACAAAACCTATCCTGCATTCCGTGTGGTGCTGTGCACAACCATGGGCATCCAAACAGAAACAATCATTTAGACGGGAAGGCAAACAGCTGAACGCTGTGTTTACCAGCGGCAAATTCCAGGTGTCTCTGTTCGCAAAATCGAAACCATCTCTTCGTACTTGGAAGCATATACAAATCCCCATAACTGCATGGCACATGATAAATTTGCATATCACATTCAAAGTTAATTTCTCATGTTAAATGCATATTGCACTCTTAAAGGTAAATTCTCATAAAGCTAAGTGCAAACAAACTGCCCTGACAGATACACACATGTACATATAATATATAGAGACACAGACAAGGCAGAACACAAAACCCGCATGCGTGCAAACACATACAGAGATACAGTTGCGAGACTACCTCAACTTCCTTAACTTCAAAGTCTTCAGTATGTGCCAAACAAGAATTACCATAAGTTTCTGATGTTGCACTTGAACCTGTTAGCCTGGAAAAGTTAACTACAATTAGTCCTTTCATCCTGTACTCTGTAAACTGAACAGGACATAGAGGTAGAAGTTTGTTGAGCTATTATATCCGAGTCAAAGATATCTTTAACATACTCAATAGAATTTGCTTTCCCCTTGTTTTTTAAACAATGGGCAATAGAGGGAATAAGTTGGAATCATAAGATCTGACTCTACAGTAAATATATTAAGACAAAAAGGTGATATTCATGATGATGATGATGATAGTTGTGAACTTGAGTTCATTAAGAAGGAAAAATTTTAAAATCCTGTCATGGCAACCAAAAATGGGACAGAGGAAAAAGGTAACTCCCAAGGGGTTGTGTGGCATTTGATTTTCCTCTTATTTCTCCCTTTGTTGGAGGACATTATGATACCAAGTAGGAAGTAGTCAAAAAGCATGCATAGATAAATCAATGAAATAAGGATCAAAAGGAAGGCGAAAGAAATCTTACAGATCCCCATCTAAGTAGAGAGCAAAATGGCCACCGCCTCCCAAAGCTAAATACTCCGTGGAACAGACAGTAAAATAGCGATTGACACCTACTTAGGCGACAATGTCAATGTCATGTCATAAGTAATTGATTTGAATTCCAAACAGCTTATGGAAAAACATTATCATAAAAAGCAAAAGGAACTGAATAATCACAGTCAGAAGTAGAAACAGTTCCAATCATGCCAGGATTAGGATAATAGTGATTTCAGAGAGAATAAATGATTAGTTTCTGGAAAATACGAAAATTCTTGATCATTACATCTTTAGTATCCACTAAGAAATCTCTATTTCATAGCTTGTATAGTTATACTACTATCACCAGCTAAAATTTTCAGCATCTTGAGATGACAGTAAATCAGGTAAACAATGGATTAAAAATGTTTCAAACCCAAGATTTCCCATAAGAGGACCACTATTTCAAATCTCCTTTTGATCATCAATACCACAAAAAGAAAAAGGATAAGGACATGCTGGGCCAGCCCACTCCCGTCCCGATGCATTAAATAAATTTGTTATCAACAAACAAAAACAAAGAATGGGAATTTGTTCTCCAAACTTTAAACGTCTGGTAGAAGTACAAGGAAAAAAGAGATACCTGTGGGACGAAATATGACAGGTTGGCCAGATACAATTGAGAAAACAAATGAATTATTTGTACCCTGTCAAATACCAAAATCAAATCAAGATGGCGAATGGAAACTCAAAGGCAAAGGTGACATGTTTTAAGTATTCTGCTCAGAATTACCTGATATTTTCTCTTTGTTGTTGGCTTTAAAGGTGCATCAACTAGCCCACCAAACACAGCACCATTATGGTCCCCCACAACCTATAAGATTTGGACAACATGAGAGAAACACAACTAGAGTCTTGTGCCAGATTTAACAATTTGCAAGTCTCAAGTCTTAATGACTATGTCCACCATTCACAATGATGGAAAAGCCAAGACACCAGACACCGACAGGAATGCTTTTAACTCCAATAATGCAGAGAGATAGACCACTCGGAGTCTCAGACTCATACCAAAAGAGCAACCAGCAAGAAATCAAAATCAAAAGTGACAAATATACTGCCCTTTGACTTCAACAACGGCACACATCGAACTTCAGAGGCATTCCCATTCCAAGATCTATCATTTTTACTTTTTCAAACCATGACGCCTAACCCAGAAATCTTACAACAACATACTCAATGTAATTGCACGAGTGGAGTCTGGGGAGGGTGGTGTGTACACAGCGTTACCCTTACCTTGTGAAGGTAGAGAGGTTACTTCCAATACACCCTCGGCTCAAGTAACGACTAATGCATACGGAAAAGAAATATCTAACCCTGAAAACTTGAGTTCCAGAAATATCAGAAGGAATAAATTACCATATTATGAGTTTATCAGCACAGAGAAGCATTGCTTAGATCTTGTTATGAAACAACGCCTTGTCTTTTTAGTGAGAGATATATAATCTAACTGACCTACACTTGGTTTCTGAAAATATGATTTGGACTGCAACAGCAGCACTAATAAGTTAGGGCATAAAAAGATAGCAAGACTCTGGAATATTTGAACATTTATTAATGAAACAGCTGGGTTCTATTCCACATACAAGAAAGCACGGGGATTCTACTCCTTTTTAAGTTCGATACTGATAAAAGGAAAGGAGATTATCTGGTGGTTTCTTCAAGAAGTGAAATACACACACATATCGACAACAAAATATTAATTCTAGTTCATCTAGATTCTAGACCATAAGCAATTAAACAATTGTTCAAAATGTAAATCAAAACTACTCTTTGATGTGTAACTCCTGGAACATAATTCTTAATGAGCAATACATATCTCTTTACAAGTCACCAGTTAATTACCAGCAGACTGATGCCAGGCCATAGTAGGCTTCTCCTATATAAAGTTGAGAGTGATATTCCATTCCTCCATGTACTGGCAAAATAGAAATTAGAAGTTAAAATCTACTACAAAGTGGAAATAGGAGAGGAAATAAGCATAAAGCTGCTCAAAGAGCATTCAAATTTAATACAACTCAGGATCCCTGCCTGTATAACAAGACCCACTTCCTGTCCTGCACAAGCACGGGCAGTGCAGCATAAAGATAAATCCGTGCCTTCTCATTGAGGAGAACTGAAGGTTCAGAAGTTTCCGGAAGATTGTTCAGAAGAGGTTTCTTATTCATATCTTCCAAAGGTATCTGATTATCTCCGGAAACTTTAGAATTACTTCCATCATCAAACACCATCTCAGAGCTGCCCTTTGCCGAACCCTGATTTCTAAAGCCACCTAGTCTAGCAACTTGGTGAAGAGCTCTGCCGAGGGAATGTTTACCCCTGGAAAGTATACCTTTTCTTCTGCTAGGTTCCCTCATTGTAAGTTCAGGTATTGACTCATCACGATCATCTTGCTTATCATATTTTCCACTAGTGTTAGGCTTACTCTCAGATACTGTGGTCGACAACAGTGAATAAAGGAACGCCGAGAAAGAAGATGTATCAGGACCATCAACTAAATCCTTGGCATCACCCTCTGCATTTGACTCATGCTTACTTCCATCAGAATCAGATCCATCTTCCTAAACAAATATAAGAAAAACTATTAACATACAATCTGTAGGGAATATCACAAAACCTCTCTGCTGCTTTGCCCTCAGAGTATAATGTATTTCAAATGCCCCAATATTAATGATGTTATCTACACTGCATCTTCAGTAAAAAGGGCAGTGAATACTAAGAAGTGCTTATGATGTTGCAATCCTATTCATATCTTGTTCTTCCTCCAAGACTAGACGACCCAACAATTACCTTATTGTGAAAAAATCAAAGGGAGACAAACAAGATAGGATTTGACCTGAATTGAATCCCTCTAAAATCAACAAAAACATACAAAGTTGGGGGCCCTAGCTAGAAAAGAAACTAGATTAGACAAAAATTGACAACTTACCAAGATCAGCTAAAGGTCACAGATTATATGCTCATAGGCTATACACTATAATAGTCAACCTAAACCCTTATTTCTGATCAATTCCAAAATTGGGGTATTCAAGAGCTGAAATTATCATCAGAAAATCATACTATAAACCCCAACAAGATCAAATTTTGATTTAGAATAACAAAACAGATACAAATATCATTCCAATTTTCAAGAACCCCCAAACTTACAGGCAAAGGTGGTGGTCTGGGCTTTAGGGGTTTATCAGAAATTGGGTTAAGAATAACAGTAGCAACATCAGATACAAAGTGCGCAGCTTTACTCCTTAAAGAACGGTTCTTCCTCTGCTGCTGCTGCTCCTGCTCCTGATGATTATGAAGAAGATTCTCTTGAAATTGTTGTTGGTTTTCACTACCCATTGCTTCTTAAAGCTTTTAGTAGTATTCTCCTTTATGAATACAACAAATTCCACTAACTTTTTTTGGGTTCGTGATGCTCTAATATGCCATTAATGGTGAAAAAGAGTTGAGAATATACCCATAGAAAAGGAAAGTGGGTGGAATATTAAGAGAAAGTAGAAAAGGAGTGTGTTGGAAGAGACAGTAGTTAGACATGGATAATCATCAAATTCTGCAAAATGCAAAATTGATATTATATTAATAAACTATTAACAGATTCAATCATAGAGACTTCATGGCCCAATGGATAAGGCGCTGGTCTACGAAACCAGAGATTCTGGGTTCGATCCCCAGTGAAGTCGATGTTTTTTATTTTACTTTTGTGTCTCCGAATTGCACTTCATTTCAAGTTTTTCTTTTTCATTTCTCATCCAGTGTTTGGTGCCCACATTAGAGCTTTAACTAAATTTGAATAGTTCTTTTTAAGTTTTTCTTTTTGATTTCTCATCCGGTACCGCATTAGAGTTTCAATTAAATTCGAATCGCACATTGTAGGACCCATTTGAAGTGACGTTTCTAATAGAATTTTCTTCATATCTAAGACTAGGGGTGTCAAATGGGCGGGTTGGTTTGAAATTGGAGATATTAAAATGGATTGATACACAAATTGGGTTTTTGACCCGCCCAAATTTACTTTGGGCTCAAATGGGCTAAAAATCGAGTTGGATCATGACCCGTCCAATTTTACCTCTCAATAATTTTTAGGCAAAATTACTAAAGTACACTACATATGTTTACCTATTATCAATTAATCCCTTCTCTTTCATAAAAATCCAAAAATCCCTACTTTTCCCCAATTCCTCTTTTCCGGATACTTAATTATGAAAGAAACCAAACCCATCTTCCTCACCCCCAAAATCTCGCCTATAATCTTTCCCATTACCAAATCAGTTACCGCTTTCAAAGCAATTGGATTTTCAAACGATTCAACAGTCCCAAAGTTCAAAATAGGTATTATTCTTCTTCTTCATTTTTCTTTCAAAATCAACTTTTTGTTTCAATCGATTTTGGATTATTTGTCACAATGGATCATCCGTCTTTTAATATTGGGATTTCCCAATTAATAACACCTAACAATGAACAAATTTTTGAATCTTACCCATGGTATGTCTTTCTTTTGCTTTTAATTTTAGACATTGTTGAAAAATAAACGTATATAGTGTATATTGTAATCTGTAGTTTTAACCTAGAAACACTGATTGTTTGGGTTTGAGTTTAACTTTTAAATTTGTAGATGAAAGATATGGTTGAAAAATATAGTTTTATTGTATATATTGAAATCTGGAGTTTTTTACCAGAAACACTGATGTTTTATCTGATGTTGATATTGAGTATAAATTTTACATTTGTTGATGAAACACATTGTTGAAAAATAAAGTATCTTGGTATGTACTAAAATGTTGAGTTTCTACCCAGAAACACCGATATTTTATCAATTGTTGGTATTAAGGTTTCATTGTTGAAAAATAAAGTATCTTG